CCCCAAAACCCCAAAACCCCAAAACCCCAATTTAAACATCTGAAAAATCAATGCGTTTTAATGTATGAGAACATGAAAATATTAAATATTAACTTGAAATTCAAATATATGCTAAAAGCATTGGAGCATTTATTTCATTGTTAATATAGCTCTCATGATTAATATTCAATATCATTTTAAAACTTAGTAGACTTCTATTTCTATTACTTTGAATCCATCACTCCCTCCTAAATATTCTTTGGTTTGTTAATCTAAATCCTTAAAATCTTAAGGAGGCATATAAGTATATCCTAAATGACACCAATTATTACAGCTATCATTATTTGATTCATCATAAATACGAATATCTCCACCACCTCCACCAAACACCATTAAATAATCTTTTTAGTGTCCGATTGCATTATCAAAGTCCTGATATTAATTATGTATAGTATTCTTAGTCAAGCTGAAAATAAATGCATCATTATCTTTAATGTTATCCCAAAAAAAAGGAGATGTCCATGAGACAGATGTATAACCTCCAAAAACTTGTCCATGCTCGCTTAATATAAATGAAATAGTTGGTCCTTGGTTATCACATTTTTAATGAAAACTTTAAGCTGTAAATCCATTATCTGTTGCTTTGAATAAGAGTTTGCCGTATCCACTTAGAGGTAATAGTTTATGTTAATGTTCTAGTTATTTATTCATCAATGACTCAAGATGATAGTCAACCAATCTTCTAAACTCTAAGTACTTTTGCCAATCGTGCTAAACTATTTTTTATAGAGTCTCAGCCACCTACAAGTCTTATTCTTCTTTGAGTTTCTTCTCCTTTTCATTTTGATCATGCATTGAAGCCTATTTTTACTCCTCATCATTGGGAACTTAATTTATTAGTTTGAATGAATCTCTATAATACAAGTTAAAATTAATAAATTACGAGAAATTATTAAGAAAGCTTAAAATACTATTATCTTTCATTTTATCCTTGATTTAATCATTGAAAGTAGAGTTTTTTATAATATTAT